TAATAGTGACATCTGACGGTAGGCGACTGCATGCTTCGACAAATCATCATAGATGATAATGGCGTGTCGACCATTGTCGCGAAACCACTCACCCATAGCGCAGCCAGAGAACGGAGCAATATATTGTAGCGGAGCAGCTTCAGATGCCGTGGCAGCGACAATGATAGAATATTTCAGAGCATCATTTTCTTCCAGGATCTTGACAAATTGAGCTACCGTGGACCGCTTCTGTCCGATAGCTACGTAAACGCAGTACAATTTCTTTGACTCGTCATTCGAGTTGTTCCATCTCCGCTGATTTAAAATAGTGTCCAGGGCAATGGCGGTCTTTCCAGTCTGTCGATCACCAATTATCAGTTCACGTTGGCCTCTACCAATAGGTACCATAGCATCAATCGCCTTCAGGCCTGTCTGAATAGGTTGATTGACGGAGCGGCGAGGCAAGATGCCGGGAGCCTTAAGTTGAGCACGACTCCTTTCGGTGGTCTCAATGGGCCCCCTTCCATCAATAGGGTTTCCTAATGCATCAACAACCCGTCCAAGCATCTTAGGACCAACGGGAGCATCAACAATCTCACCGGTTCGCCAAACGGCCTCACCTTGTTTAACGAGACGATCAGAACCAAAAAGCACGATACTAACATGAGCAGCTTCTAGATTCATACACATTCCCTTCACTCCAGATTCAAACTCAACAAGTTCTTCAGCTTGGACATTTCTCAGCCCGTGGGCGCGAACAATACCGTCACAAACAGACAAGACATGGCCAGTTTCAGCAAGGTTAGGTGGCCCTCTGACACCATGTATCCTCTCCTCTAGCAACGAGGATACCTCGGTGAATGTACCTGTTGCATTACGAGCAGAGGAAAAAAGTTGCTTCCGAACAGGGACCAGAACATCTGTAGGTTTGGGGATAGATCTTCTCCCAAGAATCAAGATAGCCGCAGTCGGCCGACTAACTGATTGCAAAGTATGTTTGAACATAACTAAACATCAAGATATCAAGATGAATAAAAAAATAGCCCGAACGGACCATGTGGTGTCTACCAATGCATTAATATTGTTCACGGTCAATGACGTAATTATGACGGTCAACCAGATGCTCTTCAATACCCTACAATCGTACCATGGTTGGTGTGCTTGTCTGGTCAGGCAGAGGAAAGAGTTTGCGTTCGAGCGTTGTTGAGGATCTGAAAAGTACCTGACAAGCGGCATATCCTGTGAACAATGCCGTACTGAATGGATGAATAGAGTTTGGAGCAAAAGGTCGATGATAATTCTCCATGATCTGATGGTGTTCGAAGTTTCCCTTTTGGGGATTATAAGAACTCCATGTAGCCTCGTCTCAGAGGTTTCAAGGAAACATAGTACCAAGCGTGTATGTTTGAAGTGAGTTTTACCATTCTTTCCATAGCTGTGAAGCATGGAATTAATTAAAAGTTAGATGGCACACCACGCCTGCATGAGCCAGGTATATCATGGAAAATACCTCCACATCATCTTTATTGACGTGATTTTTCCTCTGAATTACCTGCAATTTGATAACTCACAAAGGATTCGGCGCCGATGAATGTGAAATAAGATATTTTGTTGGCAAATATAGAGAATTGCAAGTAGCACTATCGATCTGTTTCGCAGTCGAAAATACAACGAATGGAACTTTTAAAATGTTAAGTGGTAAACAAAAAGAGACGGAACATTAAGCCAACCACATAACCACTTTTCGGAAAATTTTTTGCTTTGGCAACATAGCACTTATGTATATTACTACTCATATATCTTCTCTTACACTCTCAGTGGATCTCCCAGGGGCCTTGCGATTCATTTCTTATGCCCTTTCTTTCAATGTTCTGTGCTCTCACCAATGGTTGGCCAGATCCTTGACGTATAGGAAAGACTTTGCGATAGAAAATTGAACATAGTAGGATCTGGATAGAGGACATTACGGACAATATTCTCCTAGATTTTTCCTTGGTCTAGTATCCTTGAGATAACATCATTGTCATTTGATGTCCCAAACTCGAGTTCAAGCGTAGCTCTGCTGGCTTCATTATGAATCCCTTCAAGACCCATTTAACATAACCGATGCGTTTCTGGATACGACATAATCCTTGAGAATAAAAATACACAGGGCCGAACACTCACTGACGAGAAGTAAATATCTTCCATCCGTCCAGCACCTGCGCAAGGGGAATGGAGTGATCTCTTCTCCAGTTCTGCATGGCAGTAACATCCTCAACCATGAAGGCAAAGCCTTCAATCGGTCCTTTGTAGAAAACCTTAGATTGCCTGGTATTCCCTCGGGTCATTTTGAATGATTTTGGTTCGGTTGTCTGTGCTATGCTTGCTGATCGCTAATTTGACCAAGATTAGATGGGATCTTTTCTCATAAAACCACACAAGCTGTATTACTCCGCAATATCTTGGGTTTCCGACAGGTAAAATTGGTGGCGATACGAAGAGAGGAGGCGCCACCATATCCTCCTCTCCTGTCATCATGACGGGCAAAACACTTTCTATTGTACGATCTTGTAAGGCCTCACCTTCTTAGACAAACTATCATATCCACCTGGGGAATGTGGAGCGGGCGAGGAAGAAGGGAAGGGGAGTTAAGGAGAGGAAGGTGGTTCGTTGGGAGGGAAGTTTTGGGTGGGGAGGAAGAGAGTGATAGTGTGCAGCGGGTCAATGGGGAGAAGGAGGAGACTTGGGGGAGAGTGCCTAATAGGGGTTTAGAGAGGAGGGTGAGGGAGCGATTGGAAGAAAAAGGGAAAGGAGGGGGATGGGGATTGATTGTAAGTTGCCGGTCCGCCGGTCCTCTGTTAACACTTGAACAGGATGCATATGCATGTTCTTGACATCCCTCAGTCTGGAAGGACTGATTTTTATGATACATTTTTTTCGACCCAGAAATGAGATACACCTTTATGGAACGAGTTGCTCCATTTGATTGCTTTCACCTACATTCACCAACACGGACGGAAAGATCCTTGACGAAATATTAAGAATGGTATTCATATTCACTGCATATTAGAATCAAACAAAACAATGCTTAACAGAAATGCTACACCACCACTTAGTCTATGGCGCTGATATATGCTGTGCTGCTGTGAGGTCATTAGTGATCATTAGTAGCGTGGATATCTACTGTCATAAAGTATGTTTTGTGTTTTTGGTTGTCGTCTGCAGTGTGCGAGTGGCTGTGCGTTGGTCAACAGCCCGATCGAAGAACGGAAGCACAAGTGAGAAGAATCAAACCCGTTTCTCTAACAACAATGTACCGGCCGGGGTCTTGCTGCTGAAGCCGCCGTCTCGGCTGAAGATTTTCTCGCCACGCAGCCACGTCTCACGGACCATGCCGCGCAGGGTGCGACCCTGGTACGGCGAGCACCTGTTCCGGAAGAACATGGTACTAGGCTCCACGACCCATTCGACAGAGTCGTCAAAGACACATATGTCGGCGTCAAACCCGGGGACGAGATCACCCTTCTGGCGTTCGAGTCCAACCTGTGCCGCGGTGTTGGCACAGCATAGGCGCACAATGTCTTGGATGGCCCGCTTGGTGTTGGTATCTTCCGGCGCTGAAGTGAGGCCCTTCCGGCGGCTGAGCTCCGTCCACAGGATCGGGGGACCCAGACCGACAGAAGAGATACCACCCCAAGCGGAGGAGAAGCTACCTTGGTTCTTTTCGATAGAGGCGTCGCTCTTAGAGGTGCAGTTGCCCGGGATATGAGAGGGAAGGAGCTTCAGATCCGGTGTGCACGGGGAGTGGTCCGAGACAACGGTCTTGATGACACCATCCTCAGCGTGGCGTTCCAATTCGGCCCAGAGCGCATCCTGGTTGAGCTGTGAGCGGATCGGGGGGCAGCATTTGTGGCGGGTATCACCATCCCGGATCTCCTCGGCGGCCAGGGATAGATAATGGAAACAAGTCTCTGCAGTAATGGGGATCCCATCTGCGCGGGCTTTCTTGAGGAGTGGAATAGCCTCCATGGCCGATAGGTGGACAATATGCAAAGCAAGCTTGGGAGCCAGATGGGCCAAGGACAGGATCTCTTCTACGGCACAGGTCTCATATGATGAGGGATGCGATGCCAGGAAAGTAGAGTATGCTTCCGCGGGGCCTTCAGGGGTCAGGGGTTGGTCTTCTTGGGAGGATGTAATGGGGGGTACCATTTCCGCATGGAACATGAGGGTGGTGGGCTCATCGGCAAGTTCTGCCATGGCCTTACGGATGTCTTCAGAGGAGACGGCGGGGAATTCGTCAACCTACAACGGTAAGCACGGAAACATGGTGAGGGAGCGCTGGCATACTTACCCCACTGTCGATGAGGAACCCTTTGAAGCCGCGGACACCTTGGTTAACGAGAGCCTTCAGTTCGCCAGCATTGCCGGGGATAATCCCACCATAGAAGCCGACATCTACCCAGCACTTGCCTTGGGCAGTGTTGAGCTTCTCCTTGAAGCCTGTCACGGTGGTAGTGGGCGGAATGGCGTTCAGAGGCATGTCAATGACGGTGGTGACACCGCCGAAGGCAGCAGCCTGGGTGCCTGTGTAGAAGCCCTCCCATTCGGTGCGGCCTGGCTCGTTCAGGTGAACATGAGCATCAACAAATCCGGGAAGCAAGACGTGAGGCGAATAGTCGGTATAGGGGGTCCCGTCAGGGAAGTCTGAGGCAGGAATGACGGAGTCGAAGACCGCAGTGATCTTTCCAGACGTGCGAGAGACAACGATTGTGGCAGACGTTAGACGGCCCGAGATAACGGCTCGAGACGATGTCACCACGGCAATCGAGGATATTTGTTGCATATCCATGGTCGAGGAGGGTTATCGATATGAAGAGAGAAGAGGGAAAGGGGGACAAAGAGAAGAAGAAAGAGGAAAAGAAAATGGGAGAGAGAAAGAGGTCGAGGAGGGGCTCAAAGAGGGTGATAACAGTGAGTGAACGAAAAGATAAGGACGAGTTCAATGAGCTGATAAAAAAGAAGTTTCAGAACGGTTTGGTAGGCAAGGGATCCTTATTTGGGAAGTCTTGAAGACGAACTGATAAGGACTAAACTCTCACAATGAGGAGATGCGACATGGGCGGGAAGGCACGATATCGTAATCCGGGGTATAGATAAGGGTTTATAACAGTTTCCCATCATCTCCATCGTCTGTGGGAGCCCTTAATGCCTTTTTTTCAGTCCCCGAAACCTTGGCCACATTTCCTCCTCTAACGATAACAATAATGATCGAGTAATCGCGAAGGTAAAAATAGAAAAGTATCACTTATTCCGCAACATTATCGCCTATTGCGGTCAAATTAGGAAGTCTAACCTTTCCTTCATTACCTTTGTTACCCAAAACCACAGTTACTGCTCCTGATAGACCCTCCGGATAAATCTGCAACTGTAGGTCAAAGACGAACGGGTTGTCTTGCGATAACGGCTTTTTGGACGATACGAGGATCACATCTATCGGCGCCAGAGGAGGGAATAGCTTGTCAGCAGCGTCCGAGACTGGCATCTTCTTGTTACAGACACCCGGCCTTGTTATTGATCCCTCATCGTGGTTTCTTGGGTGTCGACGAGATCGCACACAGTATATAAGACCGCCTATTATACTGTACATCAAAAGTGTATATGGGGCTTATTCAACTTCCACAGACACAGCCGGAGCCCACGGCACACAGAGAATCAATTCACAGGGCAGTTAAGAATACCCCTGCGACAGGTACAAGGGTGAAAGTATTATGAATAAAACTTACCTCTGCTTCAGGTTGCTCTACTGTGGTTATTGCCGATTCACTATTTCAATATCAGTATTGGTTGCGTTCCCAGTGATTATTCTTATACCTAGTGCTTGTACAACATACGCAACCTTGGAAGTTCAAGTTCAAGCTTGAAACCACAAATGCCACGATAACACGGAATTATCGGTAACCTGCAATATTTGCTTTGTAACAGGTAACTAATTCATGTGTCAGGAGTGGGTTTGACTAGACGAAGGTAGTGTGAGAGTTGGGGCAGTAATGGACTTCCCGGTGGACACACGGTGAGAAAATGTCGCACGATTCACGGTCGATAGTACTGGATCATGGAGGACAGACGTCGTAAGTCGATGCTCTACGATAACCGTAAGGGATTTCCACGGGTTGGCGGGTCATAGCCAGTAACCAATCAACTAATTGACTTTCGGACACATTTTGCAATTTTCCGGATATGCGCCGATCTAGAACGCTTCGCTTTGCCAAAATGCAATACTGGTGCTAGCCAAATGTCATATTTGATCATGATCATCTATGTTTGGGCTAGGTCAAGAGCGTGCTTGGACACAGAGGTTCAGCTGCCAAGGTAGCTCTGTATCACCGGAGGCACCAACTTTTTGTGAGTCAGTAAATGGTAAGAAAATGTGCTTGTCATCGTTCCTAATTTCCGACCAATCCTAGCGCTCCGGGTTATCTCATCTGACTTCTTGCTTATATCACGCGATATGCTTCAAGGTCATTTGTCCATCTCCACTGGTCATACGTGTAGATTACAAAATTGGGTTTTGTGTCTCACAGGACTTGATGGTGAGTTATTGTTTAACATGTGCATTTCCATACTATGTTTGATCCTAAGGCCTTTGGCGGGCCTTGACACCCATTGTCACTTTAAACGAAAACCATGGTGGAAGTCTAAACCAGAAGGTGAACATGTGATCACTAATTGTAGGAAAACCCTACAAATAGTGTAGGAGCATTCTACGTTACATTGGGTCCTAAACTGCCCTCTAGTTAATACTAGAAGCTTCAGTTCTGAACTTGCACCTTCCTCCTATCTCTCAAGATCTATGAAGATGTCCTGCGCACCTCTTTACCAACAATCAGCCCACGCAGATGAGAGTCAGGGTATGGCAGTAGCATCATTGCCATTTATATCTGACTTAGAATTAATTAGAACCAGCCATTGTGTCCTGTGTTTATCTAGTTTAAACTCATGGTGCAGCCACTGCAATCCTGCAGTCAAAGAAGTTCGACTATATAAAAGAAAAATGGCCGCCTACCACGAAACCAAGAGACCGCATTAACCAGCCCTCGACAAAGCTTTTAAGCCTCCATGATGACAATAAGAGCTGAAAGGTAGTCATTATCGAATCCCACACCAATAAAAGAGTGCATTTGAACATAAACGGCAGAGGTGAGGTTCAGGCTGTGGTGGAATCGAATAGGCATTTTTCTTTCTTCGAATATTCGAAAGTATTAAAATCTGACAAGAAGATGTGTTGTCTGATCTGGTTGGCTTAACGCCCCATGAATTTCTTTCTTTGTTTCCTGTATCGTCCTTTAAATATGGACTCAAGAATATCAAAGATCTAGCTTGTATTTTATCGCAATGGATGGCGGC